ATGGCGATAGGCCCAAAGCGTTGTGAGCTGAACGATTTCGTGGGGCTCACCCGTATTCATATTGGCGGTGCTATGCTTTTCCCGGTTAACGGCAATGTATGCATTGCCAAATTTGACCACATGTCGACCGTATCCAGGCTGGAGGAAAAAGCTGGCATTGACAGGTCCTCCAGCACCAGGGCCTTTTATGTGTGTCGTAGTCGTGGTCACAGACAAATTATGAATTCGGGTGATGCGGGATGCGATGAAGCCAGCAGCCTCACGCGGCTGAGATAACCAAGCAAGGATCCAAGGATAGGCGGGATCTTGTTTGCTGATTTCAACGTTGACGAGGAGTCGTCGCCGAGCAGCTCCGAGGGCCACAATAGCGCCCCTACGAGCAAAGGCAGCGGCAGCGCCGATAGAGGCAAGGCCGATGCCGCCTGCAAAAACCGGGTTATCAAAGAGGACATCGGGGCTGAACAGCGAGGCGGAAGTCTGTGGTGTCGCCATACTGTGTCCTGGACTGGACACAAGGTCCAGATGGCGAGATTGGAGGCAAGGTAGATTTATTCTTATGAGATGTCATTGGCACAAACTCGGCATGACTAAGCGAACTGGTGATTGGACAGTCGAAAATAAGGCCTGGTGCCAGACCCGCACATGTGCATCCATCAATGCAGGTATCTTAATAGTATTGAATAATATAAGTCGTTTAATTGAATTGTAAAAGAAAAAAATTATATGTATTTCTTATGAAAAAAATCTTAACTTTATATATTATCATACGTATTGTTTAAGTTTTATACGTATTACGTGGCCTAATACCTCATATATCTAGTAAGCTATTATGCTGTGCGAAAGCATCATGCCAGTGTGTGGGTAAGATACTCGCAAAATCTCCGTATAGCTAAAAAAAAATGCCCTAGGTATGTTATGGTACAGATTGCATTGTCATACCCTACGACCGTCACCTCTCCATTCGGGCTCAACCAGTTCAATCATTTCGTGACAATAGGCAAGTAGATCCGCTGGACTAGGGTGGAAAATCAAGTGTTCTGAGTTCTGACCATCCGTAACCATATCCTGTGCGAATTTACCTTTGAAATGAACAAGCTGACAGGGGATTCGCGGAATCTTCCTTTATCTGGGTACCTACCTAGGTAGGTAGTTGTTTCCCCACTAGCGGTTTTGCTTCCGGAATGATAGCATCCTGTGACACGGGCTCTGTGAGGGCTTGGAGTCAACAGCTCTAACATCTAATAACAGTCTTTTGTAGTAAAGGTCCTTGGTTTTCTAAGGCTTTAAGGGACTAGAGAGCTCTATAAAAATACAAGAAGTCGGCGAGGGCCATCTGCCCTAGGTCCCATGATTGTAGCCCCCGTGTAACCGTGTGACACATCCAGTTCGGTGGAGCAGCCGAGCATCGAGTGTTGAAGCAATTGTCCGTCGATGCCTAGCAGAATATATATCCGGCTTGATAAATGGGTGGCATAACACACGTAAGCAAACCACGGCCCTGGATATTAGACATGGAAATTTCTCCTTTTTTTGGGAAGGGGAGGGGGGGCAGAGCCAGGGCCAACAGTATGTTCTTGTAAATACAGATTAGGTCATTTATGATGGGACTCGGATACCACCAACCTGTGATAATACTCCGTATATAACTTCCAGATAGCGAGCCATGCACTACCAGGAAAGTTCTCCGCTTTTGGTAGTGCAGCTGGCAGACCTATTCTCAATGCTACCCGTCGACAGTACAATTTTCAAGCTGTCAATTGAACATCTGTTCCCTGGTTGTACGCAAAAGAACAGAGTCACGGTCTCCTGTTCAATTGAAGTTAATAACCGTTTCTCGCACCTTCGCGGCAATTAAACTGTAAATACGATGTCGCAAGGCTATTGGGTCAACTGGTGCCTTGGAGGCTTGTAGCAATAATCCTCCCGACTCGAGCGGACGAAAGACGAGCAGTATTCAATTTCATCTTCAATAACTCTCTCTCAGCACCTCAGTGCAGGTAGTTCGAAAGGCTCCTTGTTGAACTGTAACTACCCATCGAGGTAGGTAATATGTCCCCATTAACAGTTTCTAGAATCCGCCATCGCACTCTGTACTATAATGTGCAGTAGTAAACAGTGGTACACCCGGCAACGTTACGCAAACACACCTTTCTAGAAACTGTGCTAAGATTGGGTTGTCCAGATGTCCCGCATGTTTCCGCCCAACAAGCCGAAGCGTCGGTTACAACAGGGGGCTCTTCCCGGGAATGACGAACCCTGTGCCGACTTCCAAAACCCAAAATTTGCTGCCCCGCAACCTCGTCTCTTTTCCATGTGGCGGCTTCCTGATTTTGTCCCTTTTCCCTCTATCATCCAGACTTACTTCGACACGTCGAACGCTCTACCAACACCGTACTCTTCACCAATTCCATTGTTGGATATTTGTGTAAGTGTCGAGCCAACCCCTCTTCCCCTCAGACCCACCAGACAGTACGGAGTTAGACCAAGCACTTGTGTTTTCGGGCAACGGCTTCATCACTGGCTTCGGTGAGCGAGCGCAACGGACCGATCAAATAATAGCTCAAGCCCGTTACCATGCTGTCATTCGCCTGAAAATCGCGGGTCGGTCCATTGCCAACCTCAGATGGTCAACAGTCCTTGACTCGACACACCAATTGGCAACGAGGGATATTTGAACCATCCGGTCGCCGGCCCTCAGACCTATTGCTCTGACCTCATTCTTGATGTCATGAGCTGTTGTCTGAAGGTCCAGTGGTACTGCTTGGTGTACTTGACCAGACATCAAATAATGGAAGGGCAATCGCAAGGCACCATTGCCCCTCTTATTACGCCCCAGCCAGTGCCCTCTTGGTTGCCCCTCCAAGTTGCGATAGCGATAGCGATGCCCCAGTGCTACCTGAAAACCCTACGCGCCCCTTTCTATGTTACGTATCCTACCAGACTTGCTTCCACCAGACCTTATCTGCCCCTCCAGTCCCACAGCATCCAAAAACTGAGCAATCTGCTGACCAAACTGGTACTTTCTCCCCATTTCTAGAAGAACTCAAACCTTCTGTCCATTTCGATTCTAAACCATTCCTGTTCCTCGCTCATTTACTCACGCTCCCAATTGAAAGTCAACGCAAACACCTTATTTTACAACCGCGACCATGGGCGTTACTAATGTGCTGAGCCGAAAGTCTGGCGTCATTGTGGGAGATGATGTCCTGAGACTGTTTCAGTATGCCCGGGAGAAGCAGTTTGCAGTCCCCGCCATCGTACGTCTGCGTCGAACCCCGGCATTCATCAATATTGCCTCTCGCTATATTCTCACAACGCTGATCTCAATGTGATGATAGAACGTCACTTCATCCTCAACTGTAGTTGCGTCCCTTGAGGCTGCCCGCGATGCCAAAGCTCCCATCATTCTCCAGATGTCGCAGGGGGGTGCCGCTTACTTCGGCGGCAAGGTGGGTGCAATATCTGGCGGCTTTCGTTGCAAGACTGCTGACATTGTTGTAGGGTTTGAGCAATAACGACCAAGCCGCCTCCATCACTGGTGCTATTGCGGGTGCCCAATACATCCGTAGCATTGCTCCCTCTTACGGCATCCCGGTGATTCTCCACACTGACCACTGCGCCAAGAAGCTTCTGCCATGGCTCGACGGCATGCTCGACGCTGATGAAGCTTACTTCAAGGCCCATGGCGAGCCTCTGTTTAGCTCACACATGATCGATCTCTCTGAGGAACCTGTCGATTGGAATATCGAGACTACCGCCAAGTATCTTAAGCGAGCGGCTCCGATGAAGCAGTGGCTCGAGATGGAGATTGGCATTACTGGTGGCGAAGAAGATGGTGTCAACAATGAAGACGTTGACAACGCGTCTCTTTACACCCAACCTGAGGATATTCTCAACATCTACAACGCCTTGTCTCCCATCTCTCCATATTTCTCTATTGCCGCTGGCTTCGGTAATGTCCACGGCGTCTACAAACCCGGAAACGTCAAGCTTCACCCCGAGTTGCTTGGCAAGCACCAGGCTCACGTCAAGGAAGCCATCAGATCCAAGGAGGATAAACCTATTTACTTTGTCTTCCACGGCGGCTCTGGATCCAGCAAGAAAGAGTACCTCGATGCCATCAGCCACGGTGTCGTTAAGGTCAACATGGACACTGACATGCAGTTTGCCTACATGAGCGGCATCCGCGACTATATGCTGAACAAGAAGGACTACCTCCTCACTGCTGTTGGCAACCCCGATGGCGAAGACAAACCGAACAAGAAGTTTTTTGACGTAAGTACTTACCTTCAAACGACTGTTTTGGTATACTTCGTGCTTCCATTCTGTGGTCGAGAACGTTGCTAATGTATAGAATTTAGCCCCGTGTTTGGGTCCGCGAGGGAGAGAAAACCATGTCTGCCCGAGTTACCGAGGCTCTCAAGGACTTCAGCTGTGCTGGGCAGGTGTAGGTATTTACCTAAAATACGGAAACTTCTCTATGTTGTGGTAGGTGCGGTTCGGGGGCGTGATGATTGATTGATTACTCTAGAACTTTTTCTAAGCTATTCTAGTACGGGGGCGTGATGACTATAAACAGTCAAGAATACTATCAGCTGAAACTAAAATGGAGTAAAAAATAATTGAAATCTCAGCAAAATCGGCTAATGTGAGAAAGTGACCTGGTTTGATGTATGTGCTTGAGAAACATATCTAATACGACAACATCCAGATCACCCACCATACCCGCAATAATATGCACAGGTTATCAATAAACGCATAGAGAAACCCATGATCCTCTTAGCCCTGTGCAAATATCAGGGCCAGTTACAGTCTCTTGCAAGATGTATTTGCCTGTCGCCAATTATGCCACATTTTACCAGGATATCCCAGGATAAACCACGGAAAATCACAGCATGTGGTGCGAGATAGCCAGGTACCTGGTCTCTGATCACAGATCTGGCAAGCGACAGAGCTTCAAAACGAAATGCTTGATAATTCATAATATCACAACGAAGCGTCTACTGTCCAAGCACTTCTTTTTCAATCTCCTGTACTTGCTCGCTGCTGAGCTTTTCGGTAGACGCCTTGGCGGCTTTCTCTGCATCGAATCGCCATAGGCCACCTGTCTTATCCTCTTCACCATTCAAGGGAATCCCAGCAGCATCGCCTAGCTCTTTCAGAACCTGGTCTTCAGCTACGGAAGAAAAATAACGTCGCTCCCAAGTCCGCTCCTCAGATCGTTCCTTGTTTCGCAGATCCCGCTGCGCTTGCTCAATTTTGCCTTTTTCAACCGAGACCGTCTCCATATCGCCGGCTTGAATAGCTTTGGCAACCCTAGCCCAAGCCCGACGAGATTCGAGAGGGTACTGATCATCTATATGGGCAACGTTGAGCTCAGTCTGGGCGGTCCCAACGGCGTCGTACGTAGCAAACAATGTGGCTGGTGAGTTCTTCTTGGCAGGCCCTTCATATATCTCAAATTCTTTGGTCCATTGGCCCGTAACGTTATATAACACCTCTTTCTCCTTGCCTGTGGGATAAAGAGTAGCGACAACACTATTCTTCTTACCCGACAGCCAGCCCTTGCCACTGTAATCGATCTTGGCAGTATAACCGCTGGAGCTACTGATGCAGCTTGACCCATCTAATTCGACAAAAGGTGCGCCAAAAATAAGACCCTCGATATGAAGAGATGGAAGTGTGATTAGATAATGTTCATGCTCCTGTTTATCACGAGGCCCAACCGGGACTGTCAGCACTGCGTGACCAATTTGCTTTACAATGATGGTGCTTTTAAACGTGGCCTTTTGGGCATTGTATCCTTCCAGCTGAACCCCAGTCCTGTCGTTGCGGATGCAGTAAGCAGTCGCGGGAGGATGGTGGCTGACTTGTTCGGAAATGAGTGTGGTCTCGCCGGCTTCGTCAGTCCAAGTGCCTAGGAACAGCTCGCCAAGAAACGGGTTCAAAGGCTTCTTTTCATTCCCAAACTGTTCGCTTCTACTGGCATATTGATGCTTGAGTGTTGAAAGAAACCATTTCAAGACGAGAACAGCGCGCTTGGCGGGGTCGGCTTCGGCAGCAGGAGCGGTGAAGATGGGCGGATGAGTTGCCCAATATGATGAGAATTCGGTGAGAGATTGGGACGACAAGATGAAAGGCGGCGCAGTGAGAGACGAAAGATCTCCATTAAAGGAGGCGATTGACTTGATGGGAAACCATTGTCAGCTAGGGGTCCCGGGTGCCGCGTTAGGACAGATGATGTAATGTTCCCGTACCTTGAGGAAGGCTGACCAGCTTCCACTACTGGCCTGTGCCGCAGTCGTGGACCCAGAAGACGACATGGCGGTTCACAACGACAGGCAAAATCGGTACACCAAACTTGAATTCAACAGGAGTGGGCTGAATGTGATGAGTGGTAGCTGGCGTAGGCGACGATGGAGTGACGGATCTGCCAGCAAGTTCATGTAGGAACGGCAAATTGTGGCGTTAGTGGAATCTTGTTGCCAAGGGTCATGCGGAATCAGGCACTTTATTGTACTGGTCGGCACAAATCAAGACGATTTGTCAGTCAGTCTATGTGTACGGAGAGTGGGGGAGGGAAAATGTCTTGAGCCAGAACAGAGAGGCGTTTGGGCATCGTATCACGTACGAAAATATAGTGTATAATACCAATATACCGCTTAGCAATAGGCTCATATTTATCTTGACATAGTTTTCAGGCCAGACGAACAAAATAATGTTGCTTGGCCCCCTATCGAAAAGAAATAAACCGTCAAGGGCTTCTGGAAACCTCAGCATGACCGGTTTGCCTTGGATCACGCACGAAGTGCTCCCTGTACGTCTGTTTAGGTGGCTGGCCACACGCGACACTGCTCTGTCCATTGGCCGCAGAGCAATTTTACCCCGCTCTTTCTCCCCTCCCTTCCCCACTGTCGTCATCAAGTTTGCGACTTTGCTACTCGGTTGCCAGCACCTACGTCTCTCGTTGCGCATGTGGCTTTATCAGAGGAAATGCCGACGATTCTATCACTTTTGAATATTTGACCAGGAACTGCCAATCTGTCTCTCTTTATGTCTTCGGTTTTGAAATTCACTGCTACCTACCTACCACGGTAGGTTTATGTATAAATTTGTAGTTCGCTGGGCGGCGATTCAGCCAGTTTTAAGGACAATTCGCAGCTTCCACAAAAAGCCACTAGACATTAGAAGCCGGCTTTTCCTCAGCTCACAAAATTCAGAAGATGAAAGACAGTCTCTTGACAACATTGGAGAGATATATCAAGTGGCCAAAAGCTGCTAACGTATTATACTGGACGTGCATGCACAACTCTAACTCCACTTTTATTTAGGCACTAAATTACCTACCATAGCGCGCTAAGGGGGTTTCTGGTGACTGTCCTCTAGCTATTATCTATTAGAAGACAGCTAAACAGAATTTTTTACTTAATATATGAGACTTCTATTAATTAGTGATGATTTAGGACCTGTCTTGTAATAGTTGTGCTATTACTAGAAATAGGGGCCGCGCGCGTAGGTAGGTAGATATGTACCTACTAAGGTACCTTTAGGTAGTAGGTACTTTATTAGCCTAAACGCGACACACACATACACCTGTAACTCTATACGTAATACCGCGATTTAGTTACTTTTTAATTCTCGTAACTTACTTCTTAAGAATAATAAGGTTCTTAAATAAGTAATAAATTAATTTAAAAGAAGTAATTAAATGCTTTTAAAATACTAGTAATTTTAATTATATATATTATAAGTTATAGCTTATTATAAGTGTAAATAAGTAATTAAATAACTTAAATAATTTAATTATATAATA